GATAATATTAAAATTAATTCTCAAAATATTCAATCTAATGTTGCAGAATTAACCTTATGTATTTGGCAAAATATAATCATTGTAAGTTAATTGACTATTTTACTTGTCTAGACAGGTCCATTATTAAGATTAATCTTCAGTATGTTAAAAGCATAGATTGTTCTGAGAACACTAGCAATGAAAGAAATTTTTGAACGGTACACTGCAAAAAATTTAAAACTCTTTTAAATAAGAAGTATTATATGATTTTGAAATCAAAACATCACAAATATACACTATAACAACTGACAATGGAGCAAATCTTATTAAGCTGGTAAAATTATTGGAGGAGATGATGAAAATCAAATTTCAAAATGATGAAGAAGAACAAATACAAAATATAGATAATTTGAATGATGTTTCTACTCGAACATGTACCTAATTAACAATCAATCTAAATGTTTCTTAATATAATATTATAAATATAAAATATGCTTCTCATACCACCTTAAAACCTTGTGGTAGATCATGCAGTAAAAAATTGCTCAGTTTCTAATATTATTATTAAAGCTAGTACTGCTTGGAAGAAGCTAAAGACAGAATCGATATCAATACTAAAAAAAATTAAATTTAAAAAGATCTATATTGGATTGTCACAGATGGTTATCAACCTATGACATGCTAGAGAGATTGAATGAATAAAAAGATATGTGTGAGGAATTTTCAGTATCATACAGTGAACTTTTTTTACAGCTTTATAGGTGTTGTATATGCAAATTAGAATGTTATGGAAGTTATTATTCATAAATAAATTGTAGACGAAGATAATATTTTTTTTGGGTAATTATTTATGTAAATGATCTTAAAATGAACATAATATTATTTTATAAATTTTCATATATTCAAATTAATTGTAAAACAATTATGATATATATATATCGCGGTAAAAGTGAGATTCGACACATAATGATTATTAATTTTTTAAAATATAATTTGGATTGCTGATCGAATAAAATATAGTCGTAAAGTTTTTTTATTCTTGATTATATTATATATTGGGTTATCATAATTTATATATTTTATTTCTTTCTAGATTCCAATATAATAATAATTCTAATTGAGAGTGTTAGTTAACATCGATAATAATATAATCAACTTCTATATACAAATTCAATTCAAGCTTGCAGCCAACTGCAACAAGTGGAACAAAGAAAATCAAACCCTATACCTTAGGTCTTCAGTCTAACCATTACATAATATTTCGGGAAACTAAAGCGTTAAGAAGATTTTTTCTAAATTATACCAGGATAATTAAGGTAAAAAAAAATATATATTTTCTTTTATTTTTAATGCCTTTTTATGCTTTTATTTTAATCATAATATTAATTACATTGTTGTATAATTTTGGCCGCAGCATTAAACTATTTGTGGTTAAAATTATTTTGAATTCTTTGTAATGTATCTAAGTCAAATTATTTTAAGGAATTTATTGTTGGAAAATATAATGGTAATAATAATTTCGGTAATAATTTTAGCTTTTTTATTAGGTTTAATTGTAGGTAGAAATACATCGTTACATAAAAATAGAAAATAAGGAATTAGATAAGATAAAAAATATATTAAATGAGGAAAATAAGGAGATAAACATAAACATTTCTAGAAGTACAGATATTTTCAGACGAATTAGTTGCTATAGCTGTGGTCAGCCAGGCCATATGTCGCGTGATTGTGATTTAACAAAGGATTTGAAATGCGCGAGATGTGGCAGGAATGGCCATTTAGCTATAAGATGTAGATTAAACAATATAATTGTGAGATGTAATATTTGTGGCCAGGATGGACACACTCAAGAAAAATGTAACAAATGACTAAGAAAGAAATATTTTAATAATGAAGTTAATAATTTTTTTAATGTTGATAATTTAGTAGAAAATAAGAATAAATATTTTAATTTTAATAATAAATTTGGTAATAATAGTTTTTCTAATTTTAGTTCAGGTAAAATTAAACATTTTAGTTTTAATGATAGATTTGAAAATTATAATAATTTTGTTAATGTTAATAATTGTAATTTAAATAATGATAATGTGGATAATGTTGATAATGCTACTGCAAATAAGAATAATTATGGTAATAAGAAAGATAAATTTTGTGATAATAAAAAGTGTTTTAACGTTGATATTTCAAACGATATTAATAGAAGTGATATAAAAATAAAAAGTAGAGATTTTGAAATATATAGAATTAAAAAGGCAACTTGTGTAGACGTACTAAAAATGGAATTAGAGAATTTTTTAATGAAGAATAGATGCCCTAGAGTAAAGATAAATATGGATGAAGCAGAAATTTGTTTTTTATTAGATACAGGAGCAGAGATTAGTTTGATAAGTATAAAGGATTTTATGAGATTTTGGCCAGAGAAAGAATTTGTTACAAAAAAAATAAGAGCCAAACAATTGGATGGTAGCATGGTGAAAATTTTAGGGTATTATAGGGTAAGGTTACCAGGAGTTAATAAAAGTATAAATTTGTGGATAACTACGTTGAAGATTGAACCAATTTTAGGATGGTATGATATAAGAACGTTAGGTCCAGTTTATAATTGGTGGAAATTTTTTGATACTATCCCTGGAAGTAATGATGAAAATAGTGAAATGATAGATTTCGAGAAAATTAAGTTACCTAGTATAGAAGATAAACAAGAATTAGTTCTCGATAAACTTAGAAATCGAACACCAGAATTTTTGATTAAATATAGAGTCAAAGAGAATAAGATGTTAAGTATAAATTCTTTAGAGGTAACACCCGTCGAAATCAACAAACAGATAATTAAAAAGACAGTAGAACGGGAAGAGATTATCGAAAATAAATATAGCCATGAAATAAGTATGATTTTGGATCAGTACTTGGAGGTTTTTAAAGAATAATTAGGGACTCTTAAAGATTTTGAAGTAGATATACGATTAGAACAAAATTATTGAACCTAAATATTGCTACGCAAGAAGATTGCCGTTCGTGGATGGAAATTAAACAAATGGTTAAAAGAAGGAATTATAAAACCAATAGTGCATAGTGTATGGGCAACACCGTTAGTTCCAATAAGAAAGCCGGATAATAGTTTAAGACTGTGTATAGACTATAGAGTATCAGTTAACCCGTGGGTAATAAACGAAAGATATCCATTACCTAGAATAGAGCAATTGCTGGCTAATTTAAGAGGAGCAGCAATTTTTTCAAAGATAGATTTTTCGAATGCTTACTTACAAATAAAGGTGAGTGAGAGAACAAGTAAGATATTAACGATCACAACGCATAGAGGATTATTTGCTTTTTGTCGTTTACCATTTGGTTTGAAAGTATCGGCTCCAATATTTCAAAGAACAATGGCGGAGTTATTTCAGGGAATAAAGGGAATAATGTATTATTTAGACGATGTTTTGATATCTGGTAGAACAGGAGAAGAGCCCAATGCTAGGTTAATTAAAGTATTAAATATTATATTAGAAAATGGGTTAAAAGCTAATTTGAAGAAGAGTGGTTTTTGGAGCAAGAAAGATAAAATATTTAGGACATATTATAAATGGAAATGAAATTACTCCAATTGCAAAGAATATAGATAAGATAATGAGTATGAGAGCCCCAAATAATAAAATAGAAGTACAGGCGTTTTTAGGAGCAATGAATTATTATCATCGGTTTGATTCAAAATTTTGCAGAAATCGCCGCCGTTGTATGATTTATTAAAGAAAAATAAAAGGTTTGAATAAGGAGAAGCACAGGAGAAAAGTTTCGAAAAATTAAAATTAAAGATGGTAGAGAAACCAATTTTAAATTGTTTCAATGAGGAATTAGATATGATATTAGCGGTTGATGCATCTAATGAAGGTATAGGAGGAGTTTTGTTACAGATGACCGATAATGTTGAGAAACCGATTTTATTTTTATCTAGACGGTTTAGTAGCACTGAGAAAAATTACTCGACGATCGAGAGAGAGGCTCTGGCTGTGAAATTCGGGCTAGAGAAGTGCAGAGAATATCTGATTGGAAGAAGGTTTATTTTATATACGGATCATAAGCCGTTGGTAGATTTATTCAAAAAAGAAAATAAAGAACTTATGATGTCACCAAGACTACAGAGATGGTTAATTTTAGTGGGTAATTTCGATTTTGAGATAAGATTCAGAGCAGGTAAACAAAATTGTTTACTAGATATATTATCGAGATTGTTTAAAAAAGACAGTACAAACAAGGATACAGTAAGCAATAGTTTAGAATATATAGAAGAGGAGGAAAAATTAAATAATAATGTTATAAGAATCTTAAAAATAGATACAAGAGAAAGACCGATAACTTATGAATTAGTAAAAGAGATATCCAGGGAAGATGAAGAATTATTAAGAATTAGAACTTGTTTAAAAGGAGATGCAGAATGGAAGAAGGAAGACCAAGCATTTAAGAATATTAGAAGCGAATTAAATATAGAAGACAATTGTTTATTGAGAGGATATAGATTAGTGATACCGAATAAGTTAAGAAAAGAAACCTTAGGTGTAATACATTCAGGTCATCAAGGCATAGAGAGAATAAAATATAAAGCAAGAGAATACTTTTGGTGGCCTAGAATGAATAAGGTAATAGAAGAATTAGCTAAGAGCTGTGAAACATGTAATATGTGTGCTAATGTACCGGCAAGGGATAAGGAAAATAAATGGCCAGAGACAAAGGTGCCATGTGATAGAATACATGTAGATTTTTTAGAATTCGAAAAGAAAAAGTACTTTATTATGGTAGATGCTGGTTCAAAATGGATAGATTGTCAACAGGTATTTGGCCTATCTTCAAAAGTAGCGTTGAATAAGTTAAAAGATTTTGTAAGTAAATATGGATTAATGAAGACATTAGTATCGGATGGGGGTCCAGCATTTAGAGGCAAGGCATTTGATAAGTTTTGTGATAGGTGGAAGATTGAACATATATTATCTCCACCATATTAACCAAGAAGTAATGGACAAGCAGAACGAATGGTGGCTATAGTTAAAAATTGGTTAAAAAAAGAAAAATATGGAGAAGGAAAATGGTGGTTATTATTATTAGCATACAATAATACTAAGAATAGCAAGGGGAATTCTCCAGCAGAGATGTTTTTAGGTAGAAAAACAAGAACGGAATTAGATTTTTTGAAAGAAAAAATAAAGCCAAAAGATAATACATATGATGATAAAATTAAAGTTGGAAGTTTGGTATGGATTCTTCTGTTTGAGGGTCCAGTTAAATGGGGGAAAGGAATAGTAAGCAAGAATATAGGAAGAAAAAAAGTTGAAGTAGAAATTGAAGGACAAGAAGGGACATATACAAGACACCTGAAACAAATAAGGCATAGAAGCTTAGGACATTAAAGAGATTTGAGAAATATACGAAGAATTAGAAGAAATAAATTGATGAAAGACATATTTATGAGAATCATAATTTCTGATGAGACATATTTATGAGAATCATAATTTATAAAGAAATAAATTGATGTTAGACCTATTATGAGAATCATATTTTCTAAAGAAATAAAATTGATGATAAACATAGTAGGAGAATCATAATTTAAGGAAGGAATAAATGGATGTAATAGAAGGAATCATAAATTGGAAGGAAATAAAATGGATAATAGACCTAGATTCATATTTAATAAATGAATAAAAGGTAAGTGGAGAAAATATAATGAAATATAGATAATTAAGAGTTGAAGAATATATAATATGTTTATAAAGTAATTTATTTAGATGGCATCATACGTCAGAGTAGGGAATAAGATCATAAAGATGAAGATAAGTGAAGTAGACGGATCGGAGGAATCCAATAGATGGATAGAGGCAGAGGCACAACAAAGATATGGGGATTGGTTACAAGAAATGCCGAGAAGAACACATTGATCGAAGGTTAGCACCTTATGGGATAACGAGGAGACTGGAATGTTGGGCTTGCGGGGAGGACACAAGTTACGATATTGTCCAAATGTAGAGTTGACAGCGAATAATAATACAAGATTTACCGATGCGAAATATGGTAGAATCATCGAACACTATGGGGGCAAGGGAGATCTAAAGGAAGGAGGTGTTGTATATGCAAATTAGAATGTTAACTTTTGGAACATAAATAAATTGTAGACAAAGATAATATTTTTTTTGGGTAATTATTTATGTAAATGATCTTAAAATGAACATAATATTATTTTATAAATTTTCATATATTCAAATTAATTGTAAAACAATTATGATATATATATAGCGTTAAAAGTGAGATTCGACACCTAATGATTATTAATTTTTTAAAATATAATTTGGATTGCTGATCGAATAAAATATAGTCGTAAAGTTTTTTATTCTTGATTATATTATATATTGGGTTATCATAATTTATATATTTTATTTCTTTCTTATTTAGATTCCAATTTAATAATAATTCTAATTGAGAGTGTTAGTTAACATCGATAATAATATAATCAACTTCTATATACAATTTCAATTCAAGCTTGCAGGCAACTGCAACAATAGGGTTGATGAATATCCTAAGACCAAATAGCTACCAAGAACTTACAACTTAAGCAGCTAGGAGATTTTTATGGCATATGGCTAAAAGCTAAATTAGAAATTTCTATTTTAACTTTACCCTTTGCTGGTTCTATAATATATGTTATGAATTTTAAAGAGAAACAACTTTTAAACAACAATGCCTTTTTGTCATGCATATATCTAGATTTAAGATCTGTTTTAAAAATGTTAATTTTATTTACCATAATTAATAATTTTATTTCACTTTGCATATTTCTATCTATTCATAAAAATAAGAGATTATTTTAATGATATTTTTATATAAATATCAACTACTTCTGACTAAAGAAAAAAACCAAGGATAGAGGAGCATATTATTAAAATATGTCATAACATGGAATTAAACCTTGTTATAAGAGAAATATTCTAGGGAAGATGAATCAACGCCGTTAATGAATCTTCATGTGAAGAGGATTTAGCAGAAAGTCTTTTTTTTTAAAAAAGATGGTAATAAACAAAATCTATTACAAATGTCGGAGAATATAAATATTTTAGTTAATTTTTCTAAAAGAACCAAGGTTAAATAAAAATATGAAATTTTAGACGAGTGAAGAAATCAAAGTAATTGATACCCAGAATTATATAAATTGTCTGATATTATACTGGCAGTAACGGCTACCCAAGTTAATGTGGAAAGATGTTTTCCAACAATTAAATTTACACTATCTCCTTATAGATGTAATTTGAGTAAGACTAATCTTGAAAATATATTAATTGTGCGATTTAATAAAAAAAAAATTTAAGTTAATAAAGATAAACATTGTTCACATTAAAATTAATCATTGATATTTATTTGTTATATTTAAAAATTAAATATTATTTTATAATGTGCAATTAATAAAAATGAAGGTTTTATTTTTAATATATCCGTTTTTTATTTTAATGATGAAGTAAGAAAAAAATATTCTTCCTTGTACATAATTCGAATGTAGGTTTGAATACAAAATTGTTTAAACCAGTTTTTAGAGGTTCTAACCTAAACGATATTTTTATTTTTTACGAACCGAATCTGAATCCGAACTTTAAACCGTTATTTTTATCCAAAACTGAAGCCGAAATCGATATTTGTTTCGGGTTGAATTCCTGGTTCTTACCCTATGAATTTTATTATAGATATTTAAGATCAACTATTGCAGACTTTTGGATATGAAAAATTTTTAACCCTAGCCACGCTCACGGAGCTACCTATTAATGATATTGATATGACAGAAAATGTGTATCGGAGCCTTGAAAACCTACTCACCAAACAGCTCATATAAATTTTCAAATATAGGCATAAATGATTGTATTATAAATAATCTTTAAAAAAAAAAATTAATTTCTTGGAGCGATTTTAAAAGAAAATGGATTTCAATTTAAAAAAAAAGGTTTGAAATATCTCTTATAAAATTATTTATGGGGTTTTTTTAAAATTAATATTATCCACATTTTAAAACAAAATATATATTATTATGTTTATATATAATTAAGTGATCTTTATAATAATACTTTTTTTAAAAAAAATATTTGGAATATCTAAAAAACAAATTAATCGATAAGTTGAATAATGGATTTTAGCCATGAGGCGAGTAAAGTTATTCATGTATAATTCGTAAAAAATTCAACCACATTTATTTATCATTATATACAAAAAAAAAATTAACGATTTTGATTGGATGGCGTAGTCGGTAATAATATCGTAGCTCTAGGTTTAAATCCATGAAAATAAATTTTTAGCTTATTTTTTCTGATGCTAATTAGATGTAGTGTTCTTAAATGGCTCGTTTTTAGCGATTTTTAAAAACGACTAACTCAATATTTTAGCCAAAATATTGACCTAAGCCTAGAGATTTCCATAATATATGTCTAGACCTTTCTTTCTTCTATGAGCAAAATCTTCAGACTTACCTAATATTTTTCTGGATAAAATATTGAGTTAGCCGAAATCGTTTAACAACACTAACTAGATTTTGTGGGTTACGTAATATTTATAGCTTGATTTCACCTTTCAATATTTTGTAAAAGGAGGTTTTATTGCATTTTAATAAAATTAAATGATCAAAGCATTTAGAGGATTACGTTATGAATGTTAAAAGAAAAAATAAACGATATCAAGATATACAATAAAAACATTTAAAGAGCAGATAATAATTATCTTGTTGTTTTTGTATGTTTTCGTAAAATTGGTCATTGTTTTTCAAATTTTCTGATGAAGATGACTAGCCACTATAAACATCCAGGTAAAGTATCGAATTAAAATAACTCAATCTATAATGTTTAAGTGTAATAGTTATTCTATTGGCAATAAATCAATCAATTCCTTTTAACAAACATTTTATTTTTTTTACCAGATTTCAATTTGGCGAAGTTATTCGCTAATATTTTAATTAACTTGTCGAACAACGAAAGACATTAATAATAACATAGTCTGACGATCCAATTCTAATGAATATAAATGCCTGTTGTATAGAATAAGTTTTGATATTAAAACTGAGTTTTAAGATCCTGTGATCAAGAGTAGAATTTTCCCAGTGTACCTGAGATTTAAATTTTTCATAAGGAAATTCATGAATGCTCAAATGCGGGCACCATTAGGAATGGTAGAGAATTTGGTGATGCAATCTCTTGCAAAACTTTTCGTAAATGCGGCCTTGTGTAAGATATGCTGAGTAAAGTGTGACGGTGATGTGTAACTTAAACTAATGCAATTAGGTAAATTCACCACTGGATGGTAATAAATTTGTTTTTATACATTTGTGGCCTTCAGAGAAGTCGAGGGTTTGGAGATTAAACAGTGTGTTTATATTATTAATGTCTTATAATCATCTATAGCTAATTTTTCTATTCAAAATGTTTTAAGTTGCCCTTTCTCATAAATCTTTCTACCCATCTAAGGCAAAATCTGATCTCAGTGGTCCTAAATGTATCTTATTATCTATTTTTCACCTCTCAACTACCTCGCACGCCATTATTTATTAAATTTTATTCTGTGAAAAATATAAAAATGTGTAAGGTGAATAAATCACAAAGAAATTTGCTAAATTGATTTTACAAATGAAAGATGTATTATAGAACGGCCATCTGGGATGGATAACATATCATTTAAATCGATTTCCACTAACCACACACTCCCAAGATAGAATGACTCAACAAAGAATTTTCTCACATATATGTAATAAGAATCTTTTTAATAGATATAAACAAAATATTTATATATATATTTTCTGGATATAGCTGCATAGATTCTTTCTATATTTCAACGATGCTACACCTAGATAATTATTATCGATGTGATACATTTTTATTATTGTTTCAATATATAATAAGTTTTTTTTGTATAAATTATAAAATAAAATTCCGGCAACAATTGTGCGCGCGACTAGGCTTACTGTTAGAAATATAACAAAAATCGGACAGCACTTCCGTGCGACAGAGTTTTTTGTGCGAAGGTGGCTTACAGATTAAATGAACTTTAGTAATCACCCCTTTTTTATATTCAGCCGCCTCACTTAAGAGGACTTTAGTATCCCTTTTTTTAATATTCCGTCCCTAATCTCCAACATCCCTAACCCTACTCCTAACTCCACGGAACTACTAATCAATTCCATCTTTCTCGTCGCTGCTTTTCCCCTTTATTAAGCCGTTCACAACATTGTTTAAAGCACACGTATCGCTGGAGTTAGACGAAGGAACAAGAGGGTAGCCGCGTACTTGAGCGAAGCGCGAAAATCGTCTAAGGCCTCGTCTATATCGCCCAGACCGTTAGAGCCGTTCCGACATAAAATTTAATTTCTAAAATATTATTATTTTATATTGGT